TGGTTGAACTAGTTTACAGTCCCACCAACAGTGTAAAAGTGTTCCTATTTCTCCACATCCTCTCCAACACCTGTCGTTTCCTGACTTTTTAATGATGGCCATTCTAACTGGTGTGAGATGGTATCTCATTGTGGTTTTGATTTGCATTTCTCTGATGGTGAGTGATGATGGGCATTTTTTCATGTGTCTGTTGGCTGCATAAATGTCCTCTTTTGAGAAGTGTCTGTTCATATCCTTTGCCCACTTTGTGATGGGGTTGTTCGTTTTATTCTTGTAAATTTGTTTGAGTTCTTTGTAGGTTCTGGATATTAGCCCTTTATCAGATGGATAGATTGTAAAATCTACCATGCTGGGTTTTAACTTCTTTTTTTTTTTTTTTTTTTTTTTTAATGCAGGAAATTCTTGAAGAGTATAATGAAAGCAACACCAAAATGAACTTGGTTCTCTTCGACGACGCTCTGGAGCATTTAACCCGGGTGCACCGTATCATCCGCATGGACCGCGGCCACGCCCTGCTGGTCGGGGTCGGGGGCTCAGGGAAGCAGTCTCTTTCGAGGCTGGCTGCTTTCACAGCCGGCTGTGAGGTCAGTCCACGTACCCTCCCAGAAACAGGTTTATGATGCCAATTTCTGCGTTTGGTAGTTCATGTACATATTGGAACAATCCACAGCAGATCATAACATGATGTTTTCATAGAGTGTAGAGATGGGTGTTTTGGTTTGTTTTATTGTTTCTTGTTTTTGGCTTGATATTACTATGTTTTAACTGAATAGCCAAAGCATCTAAGTACAGATGTTCTTTGGCTTAGGATGGAGTTACATCCTGATAAACTATTCATAAGTCAAAAATATTGTGAGTTGAAAATGCATTTAATATCCCAATAAACCCATCGTAAAGTTGAAAAATCCTAAGTGGAACCATCGAAGCCGGGGACCATCTGTATTGTCTTGTTTTTAGGATGGAGAATGTCAGATCAAGTTAGAAAGTCAGATACAAGCAAATCCTGTGAACGGTGATGTGTGTTCATATGGGGAGGGCTTGGCCCAAACCTCAGTGGACCCATCATATGGGGCTGGCAATTTGCTGGCTGCCATATCTGCACAGCCTGCACACACAGATCTGGGTTAATCTTAGAATCTTGTATTTTTAAACAGCTTTACTGAGATCGAATTCAAGACCATACAATCCACACATTCAAAGCATATAAGCCAGTGCTTGTTGGCACATTCACAGATCTGTGCAACCAGCACCACTGTCTACTTTAGAACACTTCTGTGGTGTCGGCCAGGCGCGGTGGCTCACACCTGTAATCCCAGCACTTTGGGAGGCCGAGGCAGGTGGGTCACTTGAGGTCAAGAGTTCGTGACCCTTGCCAACATGGTGAAATCCCATCTCTACTAAAATAAAAAATTATCCAGGCATGGTAGCACGCATCTGTAATCCCAGCTACTCAGAGGCTGAGGCAGGAGAATCACTTGAACCTGGGAGGCAGAGGTTGCAGTAAGCTGAGATTGTGCCATAGCACTCCAGCCTGGGAGACAGAGTGAGACTCTGTCAAAAAAAAAAAAAAAAGAACGTTTTGTGGTTTCAAAAAAAAAAGAAATCCCATGCCCTTTAGTGATCACTGCCCTAATCTCTGCACCCTCCCCTCATCAAGCCCTGAGCAACTAATGACTAATCTACTTTCTGTCTCTATAGGCTTCCTATTCTAGACTTTCATGTGAAAAGTGTGTGTGTGTATTTTGTGTCTGGCGTCTTTCTTTTAGCACAATGCTTTCAAAGTTCAC